GGGGGGCTGTACATCTTTATTAAAAGTACAAGAGACCAGCTTAGAGGTTTGTGTTCCCTGGATACACCACATCTATTTATTATCATTCCCCCAGCATGAACCTATCCTTTTATTTTAGCCTGCTGATTCATCTGGTGCTCATCTCTGAAAACCACACTAGACTTCTAGGTTTACATTGCCATACTGTTTGGATGAGAGGGAGTTTGAATTGGAAGCGCGCGCTCCGGCGCGGCACAGTACGTGTGCACGTCTAAATAAGAATGTATGCAGGCCACTATTAAAGCAAGATATTTCTGTCTGGTGTTTGTTTCTGTCTGGACTCTTGTTTTCTGTTAATGGCTATTTTACCCCCCGAACTTGTATCTAATGAGACATGTGAAGCCGAGCAGTCTCACTTCCTTAAAGATAAAATGTAGGTGTTTCCGGATTATTTAGCTGATGTTGCAGAGGGGAAAAATTAATGCCATGTGGATTTTATCCATGGGAATATTTAGCATGCTTGAACCCTAACGAGCCCTGCATGCATGATGCAACAAACATACTCTGGACTGTCAAAAAACCACTTTGGAATCTGGGTGGAAATTTCAGAACAAGGCCGGCAAAACACATGGAGAAGTAGGGCACAGGAGGGGCTTTTCAGGATAGGACCAAACTGTGTGTGTGTGTGTGTATTCCTAAATGTGAGCATGTTGGGTGGGGTTGGAGGGGGCACAGGGGTCAAATGTAGTTGCTTGATATCTATATCCTAGCAACAGAGAGTGAGAGATAACTTGTAGAACTTCGGAAGGGGATTGGTCAGCGAAATGACCAGAGCCCCTCCTACGTGTTGAGTAGCCTCAGATACCTAAATTCAAAAACATCTCTCAAACTTTCTCCACTCTGCACTGTACCCTCTGGCACTTTAATCCAGGCCTTGTTTTCTTTTTTTTTTTGGTGTTTATGTAAATTAATGTACAAATATTTTGCTCATTTCTGTTGATCGTATTTAGCGTCGTAATTCAAGCACAGTTGCCGCCTCATGTGCCTTGATGACACTGAAGATTTTGAAGTGAAGTTTGGCATGACAGCATGAATTCACCTTACACAGCAGTGCAGTGTTACCCAGAGTTTCCGTTTCACCGGTAAGTACTGGTTATTGTTCAAACTGATGACGTAGGAGAGATAGTTTTTTTTTCAGTGAGAAACAAGAGAGAATTTCATGCCTTTTTAAAAGTTTGACTCAAACAGAGCATGCTGCGTTGATTTAGAATGACTTCCAAATCTTCAGCCCTCAGAATGACCTGAAAATATAGTTTCTATGTGCTGGGTTACTCCTTGTTCTTGTGCCGTTCGCGCTGGTACCATCTGAACGGTCCAAAGTGACCCAAGAACAGTTGCTCTGCCCGGATCCTCAGCTGCTGCTTGGTCTCGATATATTTATACGCGTGGCTTACTTATGACAACAATGCATGCGTAAAGGGTAGTCAGGGCAAATGGCAGACATGATTATATGACATCAAAGAGTCTTCCTCTGATCGTTAAAGTAGATTATTTGTTTCATAAGCAGGCATTTTCATGATAAGA